ATAATAATTTCAGATCGATTATTAAAAGGAACCTTATTGGCATATTGGCACCATGTTGAAATCATGACCAGCGTCTCTCACCGTGTAGCCATTCTCTTGCAAGTAATGACGACACCCCTGCAACAGCATTTAGGAATTGATGATGATATTTGGGTTATTGACCAAGCATGAGGCCAAGACGGCTGCATTTTGGCCAAGTTCTTTTTCTGCATATTCATGGATCGAGACAGAGTTGAGAGGTCCATAAACACGCGAAAAAAGAAAAAAGAACCGCTCGAGCAGCCAATCACAGTGCAGGATTCAGTTCATGTCACCGCCCGCTCACGGAGCTCGCCATGTAATAAACGGGAAACAAAATATCAGTAACAGGAGTTACCTGTTTCAGAAGTCTTTCTCTTTCTTCTGCAGGAGTTCCTCTGTTCTCCTTCTCCATCTCGTCAATCAAGCTTTGTTTCTTCTCTCCCAGCTCATTTAATTTTTCATACAGAGTCACTGAAAATACAATAAAGAAACACAAGCTCAAACAAACGATTGCAGTGTATGCATGTAGTACTGCATAGCAGAGCGCATGATAAGCTGAACGCAATACAGTACAACTCTAAAAAGAACAAAGAATTTTACAAAGTAACACAATCAAAATACAATGAACTACAGGTGGCTGGTCAACTATCAGACAACAGGTACATGTACATCTCAGATCTCCTGCGCATTTAAATAAATGCTATCAGTCAGCAATATTTTTCTATAGTTTATTATAATGCCTTTTAAATTGGTTCTAACGTTTTAGTCTGGATAAAACCCTTGTGTGTGACCATTAAAATGAAAGCTATGGAGCACTTCTTTCATCTGGTTCTGTTTATTATCCTGTACAATGTGTCTCTACATGTAAGTCTACATGCGGCTGCTGTTGTAGATTGAAAATATTGTGGAGTAACAACAGTAGAACTTAAATCAACAAAGAAACACTATTCATGGCTTTTCTTACCAGCTTCCTGTTTAACTGGGGAGCTGGACACTTCCTGTTGACATCAAT